CCCCCCCCCCCCCTTCTCCCTTCCTCGCAGACCTCGAAGACATTGCGAGGGGCTCACATGCTGACCGCTCTCCCCCTTCAGGCCCAAGAGCAGGAACGCCGACCAGGAGGACCCGCCCCAAGAGGGCGAGCCGTTTGACTTTGATGCCAAGCCCGGCCGCTTCTACTTTGACGTCGAGACGGTCGGCAGTCTCGACCCCGACCAGATCATCCAGGAGGGCATCAAGATCATGCAGGAGAAGCTGGCCCTCATGCTGCACACGCTGACGGGCGAGGCTGAGGGCGGCGGCATGGACGGCGGCGACTTTGACGGCCCGCGGAGCCCGGACATGAACATGGACAGTCAGGGCTGGAACGACCAGGGCTACACGACGCCGTACAACGGCGGCAACCAGACGGCGTGGGGCGGCGGCGGCTCGGCGACGACGCCGTACAACAACGCGACGCCCTACGGCGCGTCGGGCCAGTCCGGCGGCTGGAACTGAGGAGGGAGAGGGAGAGGCAGGGGGAGGGGGAGGGGCGTTGGGATACAAATGGGTGGTCCAGACCGGGAATGAGGCTGGTCGGTAGGCGTTCTTTCGGGTGGCTGAGCCTACGCGTGGCTCAGCCTTGTGTATACCAAAATCTGCGGACACCAACAAAAGGGCTTGCATTAGAGAAAGTGGTGTCGCTGAGCAGCAGCAGCAGCAGCAGCAGATCGGCTAAAATCTGCTACCGTGCCATCTTTTGGCCCGTTCATCGTGTGAGGCGTTGTGCTGCGCTCGGCGTCTGTACAGACAGACAGAGAGAGAGAGTCAGAGAGAGAGAGCAGAGGAAGAGAAGATGGGCGGGCAAGCGGACTACGAAAGACGGTCGTTCAAGCACGTTGACGGACCGACGAAGTTTGAACAAGGAACAGATATACATGCGAAAAGAGACTTGTAATACACCAAATTCGACCTGTGTTGTTTTTCCGTACCCGAAACGCCTCGCATCAGATATCGCGCAAGCGACACGCATGCCCATCTGCCTGGCAGCCGCTGCCCCTCCCCCTTCAACGCCAGTCTAATATGCAAAATAAACATGTGCCCGCCCCATGTTGCGTGTATGTGCGCGTCTTGTGTGTACGTGCGTCTGTGTTCGTTCCCGTCTATGCCTTTAGTCTGTCTTCATCCAAGCCGGCGACCTTCCTATATAGCTTGCGGTGCATCTCCAAGAAGACAAAGGTGCAAATTGTTTGTCTGAATGTTCGTCAGTAAGAAGCGATGCCTCTTTCTTCTTTCTCTCTCTTTTTTCCCCTAAAGCAGGAAGAGAAGGGGGGGGGGAAAGCTCACGGTCCGAGGCGCAGAAAGCTGGGCAGCCAGCCCTTGAACATCCAGCCGAGCCCCTCGTTGCGGTAGATGGTCTTGAGGGTCTTGACGAGGCCCTCTTGGGTCGTGGCGGTCATGACGCGCGTCTTGATGACGTCGACGGGGCTCGTGACGGTGGCGGCCATCATGCCGGCGAGCAGCGAGGCGGTGAAGTGGGTGGTCAGGTCGTCCTGCAGGGGCGTGTTGCGCAGCAGCAGGCCCTTGAAGGTGTCGTAGCTGGCGAGCTGCGAGGCGGTCATGGCGGCGGCGCGCATGCTGTTGGGCAGGACGCCGCGGAACCAGCTCAGGGGCCCCTCGTCGCGGGCCATGCGCAGCAGGCCGTCGAGGGCGTGGCGGTAGTTGCGGCGCTCGGCGTGCGGCAGGGCGGCGTCCTGCTGCATGCGGACGTTGAGGACGTCGGCGGCGTTGCCGGAGACGCCGCCGATGAAGCCGGCCAGGGAGGCCATGGCCGTGAGGACGGGGAACGAGGGCTGCTTGTTGTTGGGGGCGCGGCGCATGGCGCGCGTTTTGAGCTCCTCGTAGACGCCGAAGCGGACGGTCGAGTAGGTCATCTGGCGCAGCAGCGAGGCCGAGAGGCCGGCGTAGAGGCCGGCGGGGCCGTCGGACTTGAGGATGTGGAGGACGGTGCCGGACATGTTTTTGGGGGCATCGGGCCGGCGGACTTGCAGGCGAACCTGGTTTGTCTGGTTAGCTTGGGGAGAAGGGAGAGACGTTGTCGGGCAAGGGGTCGTCATGATGGAGGGGTAAAGATCGTGTTGTCGCATACCTTGACTGAGACACGGTTAGCTGGCGGATTTCGCGAGAGAGGACGGCGCGATGGCGACGACCACGGCCATGGCAGCGGCCACGGCGCCGAGGGGGAAGGGGGGGCGATAGAAACGCACCAAGATCCAGGGGATGTGTCACGCAGGCTGCCATACTGCTGGCGCTGCCACCGAACCAAAAGGGGTATCTCGTCGAGCTCTTTGCCGGTTTTGCGCTCTTCTCCTCGGCCGTAAGAACGGGCTTCTCGGCGCCGGGGGCCATCTTTGCAGACTGCATCGTGGGCAGCTAGAGTATGTGATTGACGGCGGCTGAAGGTGTTCCCATGCCGGAATTGGGTAGCGGGATCCAATCGATTTTTTGTTTTCGAGTCTCCAAACCTCCGTGGTCGACAGCAAGAAGGCAGACGGGCCGTGGTGGTTTCGCGATGTCGTCGTTTTGGTGGAGATGCCTTTGGACAAAGATTTGGAGGGTGGGAACGGGGGGCATTTGGCACCTGCAGCTTTTTTCCTGCGAGACTTCGGGACCCTGCGTCATTGCGCACCGAGGTTACTGTGCTGCTGTAGGTACCTGTCAAGCCTGTATACACCGGTTTGGTGTAGGTGCTGGCAGCTGGCAACCGGCACCCCCCCCCCTCCCCAGTCGACCGCTGACCACATGGGCGCTCGAGGCTCTGGGCCCCTCAACGTCCACTACCTTAGCTGCAAGAGACCTACGTGTGTGACAGCGACAGTGACAGAGACTGACCTCATCGGCCGCTAAGCCGATGGTAAGCCCCCGCACATGAAGCCCTTCCGAACGCCATTCTAGTCATGACCCAGACCAACTCCGTCATTGTCTTCTCCGTCTCTTCCCCTCACCAAGTTGACGTCGTCGTGCCTTTTGTCACCTGGCGACTGGGCACTTGACGTGCACAGTTCAACGGGCGACTCTCTGCGGCCTGATGCGTCTGGTCGTCCAAGCCGGGAACCATTCAGAGGCTCGTAGCTATTCTATGGATATGAGATGAGTGAATCAATACAATGCTTCTGGGTGCGTCAACCAGCCGTTGTCTCGCTGACTACGTTGAGTTGCGTGTACCTCATCAGATACCTACGTGGGCTTTTGCGTACATAGGTTGCGCGTTCACGATTGAGACTACATTTGATGTACCAACAATCGGTAGGCTCGCCCAGCTGGCCTCAAAAAATAACCGCGACTTCATCCCCCGTCGTCACGGCCCACCTCTCGACATCGTCCACACCCCACAGCAACGTGAAGACATGCCTCGCAAACTCGTCTACCTGGGCAGCCGCCACGCCGACCGCCGGCAGGACGTGGCCCTCGAGGTTGTGCAAGAACAGCGGGCCCTCCCTCTGCGCCATCACCTCCCACCGCGCGGCGCCCGCGGGGTCCCAGAAGGCCCGCCCGCTGCGTGAAGCACACGTCTCCCATGCACGTGTGAAGGTGCGGGCGCCCCGACGAGCGCAGGATGAGATAAACACCCGCTGCGAGGTTGGCGGCGATGTACGTGCGGCGCGCCGACTCGGTGAGCACGAAGGCGCGGTAGAGGTCCCGCCGGGGAGGCCGTTCCTGGGCGAGCGGAGGGCGCGAGGGCGCAGAGGGCGGCGTCGAGCTTTGCCGAGTCCCAGAACTGCCGAGTCCAGAGGAGGAGAGTGCCGAGGTGTGCCTCGGCGTCAGCGCGGCGCGGCGGCGACGGCGTGAAGAGGGCGAGGAGGAGGTGTGCTAGGAGGGCCTGCGTGCGGGCGAGATGCTCGATTGTAGTGAGCTGGGGGCCGGTGAGGTGTGGATGGGCAGCGTGGCGTGTCAGTAGGGCGCAGAGGTAGGCGGAGGAGACGGAGTCGGTGAGATGTTCGTTTTCTGGCGTCCTCGTCTGAGAGAGGGCTATAGCAGCTACAGCGTCGCGCATGTCCTGTGGTATCTGGGATTCCGTGTAGAGGTGGCGGTGGATCAAAGGACTGTGGCCTTTTACTAAGTACCGGGTGAGCCATGTCTGCAGGCCACGGACGAAGTTGCTAAAAACGGGAGCTGAAGGAATCGTGGTCGGGATTGTGCATGGCTCCTGAGCCCAGGTCGACAGCGGCAGGAACCATGTCAGGTCTCCCTGGATTGATGTGTCTGGTGGTGGTACCGATGAAGAGGATAGTGCGTTCGAGAGATCGGTATGCAGAGAGGTGTCGAGGGGTAGATTCCGCAACCCGGCACTATCCGTTGTCGAGTCCTCGTTGTCGGCTCCTATGCTAATGACGGTCGACCGCCGGAGGCGATCATGGCTCTCGTGTCCGTGAGAATCTGCCAAGGCGGGGTCATCGGAGCGCGGGGCATGTACATCCCGCTGAGACGGAGGCTGGTATCGTCGTCGCTTGAGAGGAAGGTATGAGCAGTCGACCCCCCGGTCGACACACCGTAGACATGAAGGCAGGATCTTATCACAGCGGCGCTTCGCCAGAGTGCAAGCGCGGCAGGCTCGCTGCCTCGATTTCTCATGATCCGTCATTGAATCAGAAATCTGGTCCACCAAGCCTGCCAGATCAGCTGTCTGCGGAAACGAAGGCGGGAGGCGTGTCTGAGGTGTGCCTAAGCCATCGATGCGAGTTGACGAGGCGTCCTAACAAGGCAGGGCGGAGCGGCCCCATTATGCGGTCTTTCGGCGATGAGGACCAATGAATGCATGTAGCGATCGGGTGCTACTCTATCCGCCGGTATTGAGAATGGGCGCGCGGTACTCCAAGGACAGGTTAGCCGTGGGCCTGTGGGGAACTTGGCGGGAGATTTGCGGAAGATTTGCGGGAGACTTGCGGGAGGAGCGCGGCGAGGCGCGCGACGGGCTTTGCGACAACACTCATCGTCAGTGTCTGTTGGTAAGCCGCCGTGTCGAACAGCGCCGCCGTTCAGAAATCGTGAATCATTGAAGGTGTTGAGTGGAATGGAATTTCTCTGGTATAACCATATAAAGACGCTATGGCGAGTCGAGAGCAGCACCATGCCTCGGGTTGCTATGCTATCGCTCCTCAGCATTCCCACATAAGACGCCGCCGTCAGCCATATCCTCTCCCAAATACCCGCGGCTGTGTCCGAGAAGAGCAAGCCCATCATGTCCGGTTCAGACCAGGAACGCTCCATGGAGGCGCTCCGCAAAAGCTTCGCCGTAACCAGCCCTGCCGGGGTCGAGACTGTTCACAGCAACACCTACCCTACTATCTCGCCTACGCGGCCCGAACTGAGCCAGGCTGGCCGGACTATCCTGATCACTGGTGGTTCTGCTGGTATCGGTTTCGGCACCGCCAGATCGTACGCTAAAGCTTCAGCGTCGAGGATCATCCTGACAGGTCGACGCCGCAACGTGGTCGAGAAGGCCGCTGCAGACCTAGTCGTCGAGTTCCCAAAGACGAAGTTCGTCGCCCGCACGAGTGACATGGCTCACTCCGACGACACGACTGCCTTATGGGCTGACCTTGCGGTCACGTGCGTCTCTGTCGACGTCCTGGTGCTGAATGCCGCCAGCATGGGCTCCAGTGAGCCCATCATCTCGGCCGACGTCGACGGTCTCTGGTCCGAGTTTGTCACCAATGTCCGCTCACAGCTCGCCTTTGCCCATCACTTCCGCGCCCAGGAAGGTTTCGAAGAGAAGAAGAGGGTAGGTTCCGTTCTTCCCTGCCCCGCTCACGATGCGCAGGCCGGCCGCCCACCATGATGCTGACCTCTGCTTGCCCACCAACATAGAACCTCGTGTACCTCGCCTCCGCCGTTACGCACATGCCGGGCATGGAAGTGGCGGTGCCGGCCTATTTTCTGACCAAGACAGTCGGCCAGCTGCTCCTGCAAACGATTGCCGACGCCGCCGATCCTCAGAAGCTCCAGGTGAACATCTTCCACCCGGGAACGATCCTCTCTGAGGGGGCTATGAATGCCGGCATGACGGCGGATAGTCTGCCCTTTGACGACAGTGAGTCATCTCTCGTAGAAAAGTATTCATGATATAGTCGGGGACGGGCTGTTCTCGGCATAAACTCCGTCTACTAACACGCCATAACCCAAACAGTCAAGCTGCCGTCGGACTACGGCGTCTGGGCTGCTACCAAAGAGGCGGAGTTCCTGCATGGCAAATTTGTGTGGGCGGGGTGGGACATGGACGAGCTCCGATCCGAAGAGTCCCAGAGACAGTTCGAGAGAAACCCGCGACACCTCAGCATCCGTCTTGTTGGCATCTAGACCATGGTTAATGCAACAACGGCGCTGTTGCAGGGATGTATGCCCACCAAGAGAAACGCAGCATCTCCGCCCATGTGACTGTGATGTCCTGCGAGGCAGGCGCGCGACTCAAGAATGCATGGATGGCGGATTGTCCTGTTTCGTTGGATACACTCGATGTCGTAACGTTCCAAATTGTCGACGGCGCAACAGAGAAGGTCTGCAGCATGCTTCGTTCAGCATACATGACCACTACAGATAGATTAACTAGTCACTATACGCACTGTCAGCCTATCTATCGGTTTGTCCATCATTCATCCACTGTAAAGGCGATTCCTGGCTGTCGCTTCGTGTTGGCGTGATCGAGGTGGCCCATTATCTGGTGGCCTCTTGCGCCTGCGGTGTTTGATGGAATGACATGATACTTGCCATACACGCGACAACGCAGCCCATTGCTATCTACATTGAGTAGATTTGAAGGGTCAAGTATGGATCTTGGCTTTGTCGGTTGATGATGTTCAATTGTACAACTGCGCAGCTTTGTCTGGAGATGATCTGAAGTCTTTCCATGCCTGAGTGGCCCACATAGATACATCTACCTTGCCTGAAGTAAGGAAGGTACCGAGGCATCTAGAGTATGGCCGAGACAGGAGCAACGCTGTGACCTTGTCATCAGTACGGATCAGAGTAGTGAACACGAACATAGGTTGCATCGGTGGAGGGAGGTAGTGCATCCCCTGAACATCTGCAGATTTGCAGTTACAAGGAAGGCTAAGCAAGACAGAAGGAAGGAGTCTTGAGGTGGTGCAGTGTCATCCCCTGTCGAACTCCACTCTTATCGTTATCGCGTCGACCTTGCAGATGCATCGTCAGAGCTCTGCGGCGTTGGTCGATGTACCATGACAATCATTATCGTTGGAACTTTTCACCTGTTCCGCCCTCGCTCTTTGAGGTGATCGCACGCTGCTTGAGTGCACTCCGAGCTCTCCATCTCAATCTCACTGCCATGATACAGGCGCCAAAACTTGCCAGTCAGCCGTTGCGCTGCTGGGCGCATCGCGCATCATGGTCGACCATCATTCGGCACCAGGGACACTCCATTCTTGCCTCACGAACCTGCACATGGCGGGCCTACTCCTCCGGTATGATGCCCTTCAGCCGGCGGCCTACAATCCGATCTGACATGATTTGAAGCCCAGCCCAAGACCATCGAGGTCAACGGCAAAACCTATCCGACCGATCAATGGTTCAACGTTCCGCCCAACGTCGTGGCCGCCGCGTCCCGCAAGCTGCACCTCCAAAAGGACCATCCCGTCTACATCACACGGCAGATCATTGAGTCTCAATTCCCAAACTCGACCTACAAATACCATAACACCTTCGACCCTGTCGTCTCGACCCACCAAAATTTTGACTCGCTCGGCTTCCCTGCAGACCATCCTGGCCGCGCACGATCCGACACCTACTACTTCAACAAGGACACTCTTCTGCGAACCCACACGAGCGCTCACCAAGCGGAAACATTCAAGGCCGACCAGAGCGACGGATACCTCATCAGCGCCGATGTCTACCGGCGAGATGCCATTGACAAGAGCCACTACCCCGTCTTCCACCAGATGGAGGGCGCCCGCATCTGGGACCGCACACAGTACCCCGAGGGCGCCGTCGCCGACGCCATCTGGGCCGATGTCGAGAAGCTGCCGAAGCACAACGTCCCCGTCGAGGACCCCAATCCAGGCATTCACCCCGAGCGCAACCCCCTCCAAGAGGCGCATCACACTGCCGCCGAGGCCGAGGCCATCGCTGCGCACCTGAAGCGCTCGATCGAGCTCATGGTCATTGAGATCTTCTCGCGCGCCAAGGCCGCCGCCCGCAAGGCCGACCCCGACCACAAGGACGAGCCCCTGCGCATGCGCTGGGTCGAGGCCTACTTCCCCTTCACGAGCCCCTCGTGGGAGCTCGAGGTCTACTACGACGGCGACTGGCTCGAGGTGCTGGGCTCCGGCGTCGTCAAGCAGGACATCTTCATCAACGCCGGCAAGCCCGACAAGCTCGGCTGGGCCTTCGGCATCGGCCTCGACCGCATCGCCATGCTGCTCTTCCAGATCCCCGACATTCGCCTCTTCTGGTCCCGCGACGAGCGCTTCCTCAGCCAGTTCCGCGGCGTCTCTGACGACCTCGCCTCGCTGCGCCGCTTCGTCTCCTTCTCCAAGTACCCCGCCTGCCCGAAGGACGTGTCCTTCTGGCTGAGCGGCGTGTCGCCCGCCGGCGGCGGCCACCCCTTCCACGAGAATGACTTTATGGAGCTCGTCCGCGACGTCGCCGGCGACCGCGTCGAGGACGTGCGCGTCGTGGACGACTTTACGCATCCCAAGACGGGCCGGCGAAGCATGTGCTACCGCGTCAACTACCGCAGCCTCGAGCGGACGCTGACCAACGAGGAGACGAACGCGTTGCACAGCGAGGTGAAGAAGAGGCTGGTCGAGAAGCTGGGGGTGGAGATCCGGTAAAGCCGGAGCGGTGTACAACATGTAAACTTTGTACCATCTACAATGCAGCCCAAGTCTTTCCAACCCAAAATTTTAAGCATAACAGGCTACATCGTCTCGCGTTAGACATTCTACACCCGCCAACGTGGTGCTGTTGTAAAGAAGAACCCGAGAGCGCCTTCTGCCGTTCCGTTCCTTGGGATTCACCTGCGCGATAGAAGAGATTGGTCTACGTGTATAACCAGCCGCCGGTTTGGGAACACCTAGAAATGATGAACTGCTGGTGTCTGACGTTCAGTTGTCGTTGATGGGTGGCTATCTGCCCTGGCTGCTCGTACAGCTCTCTGCGAAGACATCGAGTCCAAGGCAAAGGGAATCCCACGATGGCAAGCTATGTCAGGGATCTTCGTCTCATGTTCCAGCTGTGAAGTCACTGCACACAGTCTTCATCGCGAGGTTCCGACAGACTTTGCCATGCATCTCGGGCACACGGCTCAGCAGACGATCCAAGGTCGATAGTACTACCGGAGAGCTGTTCCTCCACCGTCGTACCATGATTCACAGTGTAAAAGTACGTTTTGCAAGGCTTCTCTACGACCCCTTGGAAAAAGCCACGCACTTCTGCAACACGACGAAGCATTCGAGACGCGTCACGGATGTCATATCACGTCTGACACAGCCCGGCATCAAGGCCAGAAAACCAACGAGCATGGCAGAGAGCATCATCAGCAACAACAACAACAAAAAAAAAAAAGACTAGCCATGCCGGCACGGCGCAGAGGCATAACAGGACACTCCTATACGTTTCGCCCCAACCGAGCCCGCCCGGCTGGCAGCGCTCGGTCTCCTACCGAACAGCTCAGCCACCTTGGTCGCGGAATGCCCAACACTGCCCTGGGAACTAGCGATTCTCCCCGAGCACACAAACAACAGGTACGAAATGAGCACCGAGGTCACGGACGCACGACACAGAGGCCCAACGATCATGCCTCGTCCGGAGGAAAAAGCGCAACCAAATTTCGGAGTACGAGCGGTCGAGAGACGCCTCACGCCCCCTGGGGCTGTACGAGAGTGCCATCACCGTAAAAGACAAGACACGTACTACAGGGCCGCTGCATCGGAGGGCGGCGCAGCAAAAGAGGGGAGAAAAGGAGTCTCTAAGTAGATCGTGCGCATTGTCTGTGTTCAGCTGTCATGTGGTGAGCTGGAGCATGGAGCAGAGCGGGTCGTGCTTCCTTCCTGGAGACGGGAATCGGACGGGCCGTGTTTGGGGGGGGGGGGGTTTCGTTTCTTCGTCTCTGGCAGGTTTCCGGTATGACGGGGTGTCTGCGGTGGAATCTGGAGATGGGCGGAGCTCGAGGCAGTCCTGCCGGCGGATCTGGTGATGCGGGGAGGCTTGGCTCTGTGGAAGTCTGATGCAGGTTATGCTTCAGCATGCCTCAGCGGGGAGGGCACCTACACCTATGACGAAGGTGAGCTTTGAGACGGAGGGACAAACACGCTGGGCATGGCATGACAGACGGTGAGAGAGAAAGAGGGAGCGTGCAAGGGGCAAGGGGAGGGAGAGGCTGATCGTGGGCCCAGTTGTCCATTCTTTGGTCTGCTGCGCATGCTGCGCCGGGCGCCGGATGGAGTCGTGTCAACGTAGAGACGGACGTGATCCGTGCCAAGCCAGTCAGTGAGCACAGCCCCGTTGCGGTCGGTCGGATGAAGGTTGGTTGGCGGATGTCGGTCGAGGGCCAAAAGTTGCGTCATTGTTCTGTGTTTGTGGTGCTCGTGTGGCCATTTCGTGCGTGGATATGGTGGTGATGACTGTCTCGGAAGGTCCTTGGTTGCTGGATGCAGACACATGGATGTTGATGGATTCACGATGTTGAGGTGATGTTGAACTCAGGTACGTATCTTCCCTGCACCTGCTTGCCTGTGTCTTGCGACCTGGGAGAACAAGTACAGCGGGTCGGTACGGAACAGGAACATCATCAGACAGATCCGGGGCCCACACTACTCTACTGCTTCGAGCCAAACAGAGCCTGTACATTACATGTAGTAGGCTTCTGGGTACCTATTGAGGTGCTATCTGGCCCTACCTAAGGTACCTAGGTAGGTAAAGTAGTTGGCGTAGGTAAAGTAGTTGGCGTGACTTTCCCCCACATGCTGCCAAGAGGCGAACCTGCAGCTGCAACAGCACCTGCAGCACACTGTAGCACTTGTTTCTTGTCTGCTGCTTGATTTCCTTCCACTCGAGTGGCTCGCATCCGACCAAGACGGCAGGTCGGACATGGCTGGGCGCCAGGGCCGTCTCTCACAGTCGCGGGGGGCAATGGCCTGTCCGACCTTCCGCCTGGCCACTTACGAGCCAATGCTTCGGTGATAGGACACAAAGAAGGAGGCTTGTGGTCAGTCATTGGGTGGTGGCGATTCGGACCGTTCTCGACGCATCGATAACTACCTAGGTACCTACCAAGGCAGCTACAGGCAGAACAGTCGAGAAGAATCTGCCTGCACCGCCTCTCTGACACCTGTCGAGACGGGAATTGCCTGCTGGAAACGGACAGTCGTAGGAGCGATGAAGACGGTCCAGACCCTTGCCAGTTTCACCCTGGCTCCCAATGCCCGTCACTGGGAGAGCCCGCTGAAAGCACAGCGCGCGCAGAGGGGCAAAATTCGGGGCAGATTCGGGAGTGGGGGAGGGGGAGAGGCTTCTTGGGGGGCTTTGGGGGGATGAGAGTAAAGCGGGCTCCCTCTCGGTACTACCTAGGTGGGTAGGTAGCTACCTAGTTACCTCGCTACCTAGGTACCTATCTACCCAGCCAAGCGGGTTGCAAAAAAAATGAGACATACTAAATCCCTCATATCCCTACCACCCAGTTATCCTACCCTCGTTTTCTATTATATCCCTTATCCGTTAGGGCATTAAATCAATCTACCTATTAATCTGCTCTGGATATGCTTCAAGGTCTCTCTAGGCCTCTAGAGCTAGGTCCTTAAGGTCTCCCGTATCCTATACCGTATACTTCTTAATGTTCTGCTTAGGGATCCTCTAGGCATTCTCTATAGGCGAGAGATCTAGCGACCCTAGTGTATTAAAGAAATAGCTTAGTCTATGGGCTTCCTTCCAGGCCCTGTAGATATTAGACCTACTAGGGCTATAGCTAGAGTCGCTATCTTCCTCTAAAGTGAATTAGTGGCCTGCATCTAGCTAGGGCTTAACCTAGCCTTCGAGTATTTAGTCGCGATAGACTTACTGGCTTATCTTACTATTAGTATTGCTAGGGACCTCGTAGAATACGAGTTCAGAAATGAAGTCGTACCTAATTACTGCCTAGGTATGGAGTCTCTTCTTGTGCTTCTCTTAGGGCTCTAGCCGTTCTTAGATATAGTCAGGGTAATAGCGCTCGCCTGGCCTCCGGATAATGCGAGCCTTACCCTTAGGCCCGAGACTAAAATAGACCTCGTCGCTAAAACGGATATCCTTCTAGCTCTCTAGGGTAGGGCGTAGTTAGAGAGCCTTCTCTATAGCTCTGAGACGGCGCTGGGCGACTACTAGAGATACCTATTACTTATCGTAGGTAATATACTTCCTATACCTAAGGGTATAAAGGGATCTCTAGATAGTCTGCTAATAGTAATTAACGTGAACGCTAGCCTTGTAGGCGAGGGTCTGCTAATTAAGGGTGCGTGCCTCGAATCTAGCTCTCTAGATTAACTACTCTATAAGCTCTAGGTCTTTAGGCGTAAGGGTCTTTAGGCGGCCTCGGGTCTCTATTCTCTAGGGGTCGTTATAGAGGCGTCGGTTGCGTTATTCTTTAAGGATCCGATATCCTGTACTAGCTGGGACTCCGTTAAGGGCGAAAAGTCGTCTTTTAAAATATAGAATATTATATCTATCTATATATTTAATAGCCCCTAGGATCCTAGACCTAGTAGGTGACTCGTGGTGCTCTTGTTCGGCTATTTTGGATAGTTATAGTTATTATTATTATTGTGAGTTGTAGGTGAGGGATTTAATATATCTCATTTTTTTTGCAACCCGCTTGCCAGCTTAGGTATCTCGGAACTAGGCCAGGTACACGGGCCAACCAGAGGGAACCCAGGCCAGGCTGAGGGGCAGAACCAAGAGGCGGAACCAGGAGGCAGAGCAGTAGAGAAGAAAATACGTACCTCAGAAATATGGCATTTGGCTTCTGCCGCGCCTCATTGGAAATCTCCACTCTCGTCACCTCAACATCTGCTCTGCACCACACCGTACCCGTACATGCGCCTGCATCGAACTGCACTGCCCCCCTCTCACGCCCTCCGGCTGCTGCGCTTGCTCTGACGACGCACGCTTCATCTGCTCGTACATATACCCATCGTCTGCCCTCTTCTGGCACTTTTCCTTTTGAGCAGCACACACACACACACACACACACGTTGCACATACAGCCATCCAACGCGCAGGACTACCTCTCGTCCACAGGCCACGATCGAGCATCTCGCCACTGCCCCTCAACACCATCAACATAATCACCACAATCAGCATACCACCCCCTCCTCTCCACAATGGCTACGCAATCTCCTCCCACGAGACCTCTGAGCTCCCGCCGCTCCACCGCCTCGGGCAAGGGTCTCTCTCTCGACCTCTCGTCTCTGCCACCCCTGACCCAGCCGACGCCTCCTTCCAACACGCTCCTCCTGACAAACCTCGATGATCTCGCCATCTTCCGCCCAGACAATCTCCAGACCATCCGCGATCTGATCGCCCAGACGGCCGCCATCCACTCGTGGGCGCCGCTCAAGTCCTTCCGCCGCATCATCGTGTCCTTCTACGACGAGGACGCCGCCATCGCCGTGCGCCAGATCTGGAACGGCGAGGCCATCCTCGGCAACGTCTGCCGCGTCTACTTTGGCACCCCGACCCCCATCGACCAGCACCTCAAGGACCAGTACCTCGCCCTGCCCGACGCCGGCAAGCTCTTCTTCATCTCGCCCCCGCCCAGCCCCCCGCACGGCTGGGAGATGAAGCTCGAGGATGCCCCCAACAAGCAGGTCCACGCCGAGGACCTCGCCGACGCCCTCGCCAAGCTGCACCACGCCAGCCGATCCGCTGCCCCCGGCGTCGAGACCCCCATCAGCCCCGTCGACGGCACGCGCCAGACGAGGAGCCGCAGCTCCACGCTGCTCTACCAGCCCAACGCCCACGAGGGCGCGAGCCCCGACCTGCCGGCCATCTGCCTCGAGGACATGACCGACGAGCCCAGCCCCATTGAGGCGCCTAAGCCCATCATGGCGCACACATCGCGGCCGCCTGTCGAGCTGATGCACCATGCGTAGGGGGTTTCGAATGTCAAGTGGAAGAAAGATGTTGTTTCAAAGTATTGCATGGCGTTTGGGTCAAGGGTACGGTCCGGTGAGGATTGTCTTTATCATTGCGTGGTACATATAAGGGTCTGGCGTATGGTTAATATGGTATACTCAAGCCAAGGGTGGCGGCTAGCCACCAGGAGTCATGTGGGTTGCTAACTGAAAAAGCATTTGAACAAACTGTACACTAGTGGTCAAATACACCACAGCTATGGCAGCTGCTGAAACATTTCCTCGCAAGATACACGTGCATGTTACCGTGTGCCTTTACTCTTGTGCGACCGAGAATGTCACCTCATCAATCCCACGAGAGCACGCACACCCCCCCTCAGGCACAGCCATCCGCCCCAGCTGCCGCAGCCGACGACGACGCCGGCGACGCTCAGCGTCCAGAGACTCCGCCGCTCGTGGCTCCCGACGCCGAGCTCGCGGCCCCTGCGCATGGCCTCGTCGAGCGTGCCCACCTCGGTGGCCATCGTGTCGAGCACGGGCACGTACTGGAACTCAAAGGCCGTCTCGGCACCCAGGGCGCCGAGCTCGCCGCGGCGGACGGTGATGTCGTACAGCGTCCTGCGCAGCCTCTCGCGGCGTGCGGCGTCCCAGCGCGGCACCCACTTGTGCGAGTAGCTCATGGCGGCGAAGAAGAGGCACTGGCCGAGCACGAGGACGGAGAAATAGCAGCGGCGCAGCCAGCCGCGGGGCCGCTCGACGCGCAGCGCCTCGGCGAGCCGCGGGCCGTTGAGCCAGTATGTTTCGGCCGCGAGGAAGGGCCGCGACACGTGGCCCGGCGGCTGGTCGGCCATGCCGGTGAGGACGTTGTTGGCGAGCGTCGCCGACGTGGCCGAGGGGTGCAGCTCCGAGAGCAGGAGCGATTCCATGGTGGCGCGGGCAGCGGCGGGCGTGGCGAAAGGATCCGTCGGGGCGCCGATGACGTGGCCGACCCAGCGCCAGAGGGCGATGTAGTCGGCCTTTTCGCGCGCCGATAGGAAGATGCCCTGGCGCGGCAAGCCGATCCAGAGGAGCGTCGCCGAAAAGGTGGCGATGGTGCCGGCCGAGTCGAGGTCATTGATCGGTATCCGTTGGCCTCGACGGAGTAGTACTCGGGCTTCTGAGCCGCGAGCGCCAGGATGCGCCGGCGCACGGCGGCATGC